TTCCGCTCGGGTACCGTGCCCGTGGCAGCAGCGGCGGCATCAAAAGGGCTGTGTGCGTGGAGAGTCCTTGATCGAGTGCCTGTCCTACTTCTCTGTTCTGTTGATTGATTGTACCGTGTGCATGCCAAACGGTTGGCATGACGTTCTTCTGACGGCGGGGTCCGCGTGAGACGATGTTGCGTCGCGTGCTTTGTTGCGGGCGTGTGATTTCAGCAACGGTTTTTGGGCGGTTGACTGTTGGGTTGTTGAGGGCGGCGTGGCGACGGGTGTGGATGGACCCGATTGTGTGCCGTGGCTGTTCGTGCGGGGGAGCCGCGGGAAGGAGGAGGGCAGCGGAGCGATGGACTCACGAGGAGTGCGGTAGCGTGCAGCCATGAAGATTGGCGACAGGGAACTCACTGCCGCTGTAAGTCGCCGTGTGTGGCGTTTGTTTCTGTTATTATTGCTTTCGTTGTTGGATGTGGCCGCTGTGGGGGAAGACTGTTTTTTGTTTCTTTTTCACGCCGTTCTGGGATCCTTTTCTGCACCGGCATCACCGTGTTCCTGCCGTACTGTTGCGCCCTCTTTCCCTTCCATTCTGGGGGCAGCTGCGGGTGGGTTTTACATGCCGTGGAGTTGTGTGCCGTGCTGTCCGGTGTTTCATTGTTGCCTGTTCTTCCTGCGTGCACGCATCCCCCATGCTCATGACAACAACCCTCATGCAAACGCTACTCCTCCTTTTCCATGCTGCTGATGTGTGTGTGTTCTTCTCATCCTCCTCTCTTTGTCCCTCCCTAGACTGTGTGTGCAGCCGTGATGATGATGATGACTGGCCGTGTGCTGCTGGTGTGTGCCCTCTGCGTGCTGTGGTGCGGTGCCTGCAGTGGTGGACGAGCTGAAGCAACTCAAGTTCCTCCGGTTACTCCGGGTACTACGTCCAGTGAAGGCAATGATTCTGAAAACGACAACAATCCCACAGGTGGCGCTGGAGGAGGCGGCGAAAGCGGTCAATTGGCAGAGTCACAACCAGCATGAGTATCGGTGCAAGACGCAACCGGAGTGGCAGCGGAAAATGCAATAAAAACCGAGGCACAAGTATCATCAACGGCAGACGCAGAGAAGAAAAAGGAGGATAAAACGCAAGGAGTTGAAGATGTTGTTGAAAAGAAGGGTAAAAAGCAGGAACCGAAAGGGGAGGAAGAAGAAAAACGTGACGGTAAGAAGGAAGAAGAGGAGGAAAAGCATGAAGACGCTGCTACCGGTACCACAAAGGAGATCTCAGCAGGCGGTCGAGAGCAGCCGAGTTTATCTTCCGGCGCGGCGGGAGCATCGAATATAACAAATCCCAACAGCACATCAACAACTGGAGACGATGTTTCAGCAGCCGATGCCGCAGGGACACGAGAAGAAAAACAAAATGAAAATAAAGATGCCAATCCGAAAGAAACACCATTCGAAGCCGCAACCATTAAAAATACAACGGCGACGACTGGCGACAGTGACGGCAGCACCGCGGTCTCCCACACCACCTCCCCTCTTTTGCTTCTTCTTGTTGTTGCGTGTGCGGCTGCTGCTGCGGTGGTGGCCGCGTGAGAGTGAGGGAGAGAGAGCCGTGCACCGCCCGCACACACACTCGTCCTTCTCTCTCTGTGTGTGTCCCCTTGCATGGACTCTCGCCCTCACCTCACCCCACGAGGCACCCACAATAATGTGCCCATTGTATATATGCATGCACACCCATGCAGGCCCGTTGGTGCTCTCTTTTGCACGACACGCACCGCTGCCGTCCTGCCTGGCTGCATGGGCGGAGCACCGTAACTGTTTCTGTTTTTTTTTTATTGCATTGAGTGGGCGACCTCTCTCTCTCTCCCTCTGTGTGTGTGTTTTGCTTTACGGGAGCAATGAGAGTGTGTGTGCGCTGGTCGTCCCACGCTTCGGCTTTTTGTTTTTTCCCTTTTGTTTCCTTTTTGATTTTGTGGTTGAGTCGACCCATTATGTTTTTTTTCTTTTTTTTTGGATTGGTGGTTTGCTTAGAATGTGGACGCATGATTTTTTATTTTATTTTATTTTTTCTTTTGTTTTGCGATATTGTCAGTGTTTCTTATCCTTGTCAAGCCATTAATTGCTTTCTTTTACGTACAGCATGCGTCAATTGGTCACGTTAGCCCACGGTCTGCAGTGCTGCTGGTGCTTGTGGTTGTGATGATGTGTGCGGTGTGATTGCCGAGAGGGAACCCGTTGCCACCAGAATTCGTGTGGGCGATTGGGATGTTTCCAGAGAAAAAGGTATGAGATGTCTAATGCCATTTTCAGTGGCAAGGCACTCTGCTCTATATGGGCATGCGAGCCTGCCAGCTGCTGCACGATGGACCTCCACAGGGAGATCGGTTGTCGTGGTGTATTCGTACAATAGTGCAGCGGATCCAGATGCGAGCTCAGCGAGAGAGGAAGAAGCGTCCGTCCATAATTCAAAATCATACGCTCCCAGAGAGGAGCAAATGGAATCAAGAGCCGTGCGCTTGACGTCGTCAGAGGCGTCTTGGGCAAAGCGTGGCTGATAAATTCCACTTTATTGCAGCTCACAGTGTCCCAGGGGAAAATACGATGTTGAATAGGAGGAGCACGATTGTGGCTGTGGGGTATCCCAATAATATTACATACGCGGCGTAATCCATTAATAACAGCATCCTCGGAAGCGGGATTGATGTCGCCAATTTATTATGCATGGACGGCGGCATAGTTTCCGAGTGGGTAAGGGAACGCGAATCCTCGTAATCATGGAGGCGTATATAGCGTTCGTATTGTGTGAGTGCACGAAGCCAGAGTATCTTTAGGAGCGGTACTGGATTGGCTTGCAAGCAGACGGATGTATTATCTGTAGATGCGCTAAGGCCAAGGGATGTTTTGCTACCGTCGCGATACCGTACTTCCATATTATGGAGGTAGGTTTGGGCAAGGCACGGGACAATTGCCTCGCCATAATACAGTGACACACTATGAACGTATACAATCAAAAAGGATTGCATGGTGTGATGGGACGCACCAGCCTGTGCGACCAGCCGCAGCTGATAGCGGCGTGGCATGGTCTGCTTTGCAGCGGTAGAAGCGTGCGTGCCAAAAGAAGACGATTAATCGTTGTGTCCAGCAAGCGCACCGGGCGTGACTGAATACATATGTTCCCGCTGCCAAGATGGAGATCGACCATTTCCTCGTCAGACCGTGTGTGTGTGAAGAGATGTAGAATAGAGCAGCTTCGCTCTTAGCGACGTTGATTTTTAGGTTGTGCTCGGAAGCCCATGCTGTTGTAAGTGACGGGGCAGGCTGCATTGCCGCAGCACATGCATGGATGTCCGCACCTGAGGCAACAAGCGTGAGGGCGTCAGCGTAAATGAATGCGGCGGCAGAATAGATGTTGTCCATGCGGTGCAGCAGATCATCCACATGGCGGAAGAAGAGTTTGGGTCCCGGGACGCTGCCTTGTGGTGCCACGGCTGAGGTGAGTTGTTTCCGGGAGTGCTGTTCGCGAGTGCATACCCCAACATAGCGGACCCGCATGTAGTTATGCAGCCAGCGTTTGGTTCGAGGCCAAGGCGCGGAAGTCTGTCAAGCATGCAGAATAAATTCCCATGGTCAGTGGTGTCGAACACAGTCGAAATGTCAATCAAGACTACGAACGAGCGATGGCGACGAGGGTGCCGTACGCTCATACTCCACAGTGCCAAACTCATTCAGTCCACGGGTAATTTTATCGATTACAAGTGTCGCCACTTCCGATGTAGAACGCGGAGGTGTGAACCCGAATTGACGTGGGTGGTGCGGCAATAACGCTGACAGACGGCGGTGAATCATTCCTTCGGTTAACTTTGGTAAAACAGAGAGTGATTTGATAGGTCTGTGACTCTCTGGGCGGCATGGATCCTTCTCAGGTTTGGGATAGGAATGGAGTCCACCGTATTCCAGGAGCCAGGCAGTCTGCCATTTGCAAAGGAGTTGTGGATCATCGTTCTAAGAGTGTGCCGCGCGCAACGGGCCCGAGACGGTGCAGGAACTCATCCAACATTTTGTCGGGGCCAGGGGCTGAGCCAAGCGAAAAGCCACGAACGGTCACGTCAATTTCATACGGCGTGAGAGGCCGATCCATTTCCCAGTCACCAAGGGGCAATGGAGCGCGGCGTGCAGTAACAGCAGCAGTATAAGGCGATGTGGCACGTGAGACCCGCACAAAATGAAGGACAAGCAGATTTGCCTTTTGCCGAGGCAGGGCGCAGTCCGAAGTTCATTGCGGAGCACAACCGATTCCAAAGGATGAGGATGCGGCGCCGCCATGCCGCGAAGATATCGCCACCTCGGGCTGGGTGAGGCCCCAAGTTTTTCCACACGGGATTCAAAAAGTTTAATGAAACAACGGCGTAAGGCTTGATTTCGTTCCTCCCTTTTTCGGGTACATTCGGTAAAATGTAGCACGTTTCCAGGAAAGGCAATGTGTGCTTTGTATGCAGCTTCGGCGGCGATCTCGGCTTGCAACATTTCGTGTGTCCATATTTGTTTTGGGGTGTTCACGGCTGCCGCGCGGGATATGGCGCTCAGCTGCTCGTACGATGCCTCTGCGAATGTCCAACCATGTGGACACGGTGGCAAGGAGGGTTTCACACAACGAGGTGGAAGCAGGCCAATCCGCTTTGCGCAGGGCAAAAGTGGCTTTCTTCCGTCGAGGCAGCGTGTTGGCCAGTCGCGGAATGCCATCATCCATCTCTACCGAGTAAGATATTAAGAAGTGGTCCTAATCCATGTAAGGGGGTGGATGCCCGGTGGGAGATGCGTAGTACGCGATACGCAGTCACGCCAGGGGACGAGACATTACGATGTGTGATCCGTGTTGTCTGTGCCGTGTCATTTGCCAGCTCAAAATTCAAATCAATTAAAATAGCGGCAAAGCTCTCTCCTCCAGTCCTTGATGGTACACGTGACTGTCCCAGAGTCCACGATTTAAATTCAGTTCACTCGCGATAATCGCTGCGGGCACAAGCGACAAACGATATTAATAAATGCGGATTATTGAACAATTGCTGTGGGAAGGTTGTAGAGGTTCGCCACGCAAATGCTGGAACAGCTGGGTGGAAATACACGGACAGCAATGTTCTCCAGGAGGTCAGTGCCAGGGAGCGTCAGGCGCTCGCACGGTAGAGAGTGGCGCACCAGAATGGCAACGCCACCACTGCGCCCAGCGCGGCCTGAAGAAAGCCATTATGGCCAGATAATTTCGTCGCCACGTCGCTACGGTCATTTATTTCCAGGAAAAGAACGATTTCAGGTGGACGCCGCTCCAATCGCGCCGCAAGTTCAATCTTTTTTACGGACGAGATGCCTGCAATGTTAAGCCGCCAAATATTGATGAAGCCATCCTCCTCGGTGCCAGGGTTCTTGTGGACGTCACCGCCACGGGTGATATCAACGGAGTGACCGCCGCGAAACGGCCGTGCAGTTTTGTCCGACAGCCTGCGGGCAGATCGCTTCACCTCCCCGCACCGGGCATGACGTGGAACCTTCTCGAGGGGTGGAGTCGTCTTGGTCTCCGTCGTGCTCGCCGCAACGCCCTGCTGCGGAGTTCCTATATGCAACCAGAGCCCCAGCACCGCGACAAGGTGCGGACCCCATCGCTGGTGGCCAGGAGAAGCCGCAGTGCCTCCTGCTGTCATCAGGGATCCTTGTTGACGTCTTGATGCGGACAAGCGCCCATCGGTTCTTACAAACGACGCCGTACACCTGCGGCACATCCTGCGCTGTGGGACGCACGACCCTCACCACAACCGGAGTCGCCCACGCGCCGTCGGTACGCACCACATCTAAAAGAAAAAAGCATGGATGCGTCAGGGTGACAGCAAAGCATCCGCTGGCAATCACTTCGCACGCACCATAACAAACAGCAGAAGAAGCGCTGCAAGCCACGGGTTAACGTGGACCAACTGACGCATGGCGTATGTCGAAGGAAAAACTTAGTGGCCTCGCAAGGACAAACGAGGCTGGCACTTCAAAACAAAAAAAAACGATATGGGAATAACAAAAGAAGACTAAAGTGTCGTCAGTAAAAGCATGCCGCCAATAAAAAAAAGTGGAATGAGTGCACTCAACCATAACACAACGAAAAACAAAACAAAAAGCCGAAGCGTGGGACGACCAGCGCACACACACTCTCATTGCTCCCGTAAAGCAAAACACACACACAGAGGGAGAGAGAGAGAGGTCGCCCACTCAAGGCAATAAAAACAAAACAGGAACAGTTACGGTGCTCCGCCCATGCAGCCAGGCAGGACGGCAGCGGTGCGTGTCGTGCAAAAGAGAGCACCAACGGGCCTGCATGGGTGTGCATGCATATATACAATGGGCACATTATTGTGGGTGCCTCGTGGGGTGAGGTGAGGGCGAGAGTCCATGCAAGGGGACACACACAGAGAGTGAAGGACGAGTGTGTGTGCGGGCGGTGCACGGCTCTCTCCCTCACTCTCACGCGGCCACCACCGCAGCAGCAGCCGCACACGCAACAACAAGAAGAAGCAAAAGAGGGGAGGTGGTGTGGGAGACCGCGGTGCTGCCGTCGCTGTTTTGTGTATTCGTCGTATCAGTTGTGTTGGCGGTTACTGTCGTTGCTTTTGTACCTTCCCCAGTCTCTTCTGAGCCTTCGTCTCGGTGGTCTTGTGGTGTGGCTGCGGTCTCAGGCGAAGGAACATTTTTTTCACCTTCACTCGTGGTGTCTTCGCCATCCTGTTCGCGGGAATCAACACCGTCTTCTGGAGGTGGTGGACGATTTCCTTCCGCAACTCCCGGAGGCAGTGTGTTCTCTCCATCAACTGGTGTGGGTGTGTTCTCTACTGTTGGTGTATTTTTGTCGGTTTCCTTCTTTTCTTCAACTTCCGTTTGCAAAGGATTGGCATTTGATTCCTGACTGTTGGAAGAAGAAATGCCCTCTGCAGGTACAATTGACTGGTGGTTTTCCTGCTCATTGCCACTTAAAATCTCTTCTCTGGAATCTAAGACTATTGCAGCTGTTCCTCCTTCACTGCCCTGCCTTTCTGTTCTTGTTTTTTCTCCTTCATCTTTCGTCCCTTCACCATCATCACCATCGCCTTCAACATCATCCCTCTCCTCTCTAGGTGTGGAAAGTGCGGATGGTAGATTTCCTTTAACAACTGGCGCATTATCTTTTATGTCTTGGGAGATTAGTGGAGACGTTTCAAGCTGTGTTGATTTCGGCAGAGGTCCATCACTCCCAAGACCCACCGTTTCTTCCCCGCCAAATCTACCACTGCAGGCACCGCACCACAGCACGCAGAGGGCACACACCAGCAGCACACGGCCAGTCATCATCGCCATCACTCCTGTCAGTTGCGTGTAGCCTTCAGCACAAACTAACAACACGTCAACGCAGAGTGAAAGCAAAAGGAGAGAGACGCGTCACACAGTGACACGCACCGTCCCATCCCTCAACGAGAGTCACGCACCGCCAACACAACAATTTGGTGGACGCGGTTCAAAAGCTAAAAAAACAAAAAGAATTTATCCTCGTCCGTGCCCCGTTCCTCACACTCCCACGATGTCAGTATTACTGTTATTCCCTCTCCTCAGACCCTCACAGGCACGCCACGCTCACTTCAACACGCGCCCCTCCAGCACAGGCCTCGGGATCGTCGGGCCCTCCCACCACACGCAGCTGTCATGCGCTCCCACCGCGCCGCAACGTCCGCCACCTCCTTCCCCAGTCGAGCAGCTCCGTGTCCGCCACGTCCCTCACTATCGCCGGCATGCCACGGCCGCGCGCAACTCACACAGCGCCACAATGTCGTGCCGCCACTCTGCCCCAATCATGAGCACAACTCACAACGCGTAATGGCGCACGTTTGCCATGCGCTGCAACCACACGCGGATCAGCCTCATCGTCACGCACCGCACCTCGTTGTCCTTGTGGTTGGAGCACACTTCCCATCCTCTCAGTCCACGGCCTGGTGCTGCAAGAGGCTGACGAGTGGTTTCACCTTTGAGTGGAAAAACCAAATGTACGAAAACCACGGCCACCCTCACTCCCTCACACATCCCCACTCCTTCCATTCACTCACCAGCACACAAACGGCAGCAACAACAAGGACGAGGCAAATAAAATTACATACCGCAGTAATTCAGTTCTGTCTTCCACTTTGAAGCGTTGCCCACGGCAACCGGTCCAACAGAAAACGTGCGGTTGCTGTCCGTGACCCAAAGGCAGAACGCAGTGGTCCTTTTCTTCCCCGAGGCGTGCCCTCTCTGAGTTTACAGCGTGACCCTCCTTTCCTTCCTCAATGGTCGCGGTGATGAGGGCATGCACATGCAGGTTTCCTTCTGATAGACTCCTGATCGTGCGTTGACCCCACACGCCTGAGTGTGTCCCGATGGCCTCCGTCCACGCTGTCCCCATGTCACGCGACGCCTACACCCTCTCGCCACTCTCGCAGTCAACAACCATGTGAAGTGATCCCTCCCACTCGGTGACGCGGGGTTAAGGCATTCCGCAGGGGAAATGTCCTCAGAGAGCGCCCAGGCACTGCCGTTGTCCGTCGAGCAAATGATCATGGAGAAAACGTCTTCTGCTTCACTCATCGCCATCAGAGGAAACACAGGCGTGCCATCCTCCATCACAACACCTGATCCACCAGTAGCAATGAACTCCGTCCACTCACCTTCGTGAGAAGCAGAAGAGATCAGTTTCGAGAGTGGTTTGGGGTCGCCACATTCGATCCGTCCACTCCGCTTGCCACCCGTGGGATTCGTGACATCGCCCACAACCAGTTTCGGCTCCAAGCCGTCCTCTCTCCAACACACACCTTCGTAGGACACATCAGAGCCTCCCGCAGGAGGAAAAACTCCGTTGCCCTTCGTGATTGTTGCGCGGCGGAGCACAACACCCAAACTCTCCTCTCCCTCCGCTGCACCAAGCACAGTGTGTGCCCTCCATGCATCCTTTTATTGACCTCACCAACAACAGTGGACCAATTCCACACAGAGTCAATGTACCCCGCAACAAGATCAGAAGAAAAGGGCTTACTTAATTGAGCACCTTGATATTCGGCATCCATGTGACCCTCGGCGAAAGCACCAATTACTCCACCAGCACTGACGAGAGAGGGTGAAGCAAATAAATCCCTCGTCGTAACTGGAACAATCCCATCCTTCGGCTGCACCAGCGTCGTCTGCGGAACAAATAGATCGACTCCCTGCAGTAACTCAACATTTATTAAACCACTCATCGCATCATCAACAGGATCCCCTGCGGCTCGGTGACAGGCGTGGGCCTTCTTCCGGGTGGTGCCGGAGCCACTTTTATGTTCCGAACAAAGGCAAACTCAGGCCTCGTCACGGACGTGTTGCTCTCCGTGTTGGATGCGGGACTCGGATCGACGGTGTTGGGTCCGTCAGCCGCCGCAGACTGTCGCCAATCCTCGTGTTGACGTGACGGCTCAGCATTAACTTGCGGCGCAGTTGTCCCACCAGATTTTGTGTCATCCTTCCCTTCACGGGGTGGCGGCAACTGACAGATGCCCGTCCGGTCAGCATCGCCGCTCCGTGCAGGCGGATGGATGGTTCCATTGGGGAAAATTGACGCCACCACAATTCATAAGGGCCGGCGTATTTATGTGTCGTCACATTCATCGTGAAGGCAACGGTGGCCCCTTCCTCTTTCCTTTCACAGCTGGCAGCACAGTTGCTACATGTGTGCACCGCATGGGCCACATGACACACAGCACCCAGCTCACCATTCCTCCCATGCATGCGCATATCAAAGCCACTGAAAGTATAATTCTCCTACGGAGCCTCAGCACCGGCAGCGGAACACTTCTTCCACGCCCACACACACACGCACGCGATAGCTCAGGCTGCCGTCACTCGGAGCACACGACACATCCACCGGCACAACCACCGCATCCGCAGGAAAATAGACTCGGGCTGCGCTCCCTCTCTCCCCTCCTCATGGCCACGGAAGAAGACAACAGCCGCCACACGCAGCTGCCAGCATGCACTACAAAAGGTGCATTCAAATCCACCGCAATGTGCATCTTGTGTGTGTGTGTGCCTGCAGAAACACAAAGCAAAGGAGTAGAAAAGAGGGAGCAGAGTATGTGGAGAGACGCACAAAAATGTACAGCGGAGACGCATAACGGAAACAACAACAAGTAGACCGCTCGAACTCATGACTGCACTGCAGCCCAAGCAGCGGCAATTCACACAATATTTATTGAAAACAAGAAGACGTCCCCTTCGTCTTATGTAAACCCCACCACACAAAATAATTATAAATGAAAAAGAAATCGTCCATTACTGCTCCACACAAATTTAAAAATAAGAGAAAAATCGCCTGGCAGCCGTGTGGCCACACCAAACTGTCTGTATGTATTTTGCCCGCAAAAGAAAATTAAAAAGATGGTTGCGTGTGCTTCGACCGTCCGACCCTCCGTGTGTCCGCACATCGTTTATATTTCATGGGGTCATCTGCGTGTTGCTGCTCCCCTCAGCCCCCTCATCGGCGCGTGAGTGCGGCCAGCAGAGCACAGTCACTCGTGTGTGTGGGGACTGAGAGAAGCACGCAGACATGACGGCAGTCGCGTCACTCCATCGGGAGAGTGAGCGCAGCAAAAGAAAAAGAAATCATCGGAGGGGAGAGAAATGCTCACGAGGCCGACACCGAAGGGTGCGCCACCGCATGAAATAAACACGCAAAGCAAAACAAATCCTTAAAGAAAAACACGGCGGCAGGGTGTGGCTGTGTGTGTAGCGCTGCGGGTGTCTGCCCGCCCTCGCCGCAAAGAAAACAAAACAAGAGGGAAGAAATGTGTGCTCCGCCCCACAGGCCCTCGTCGCACGCCCACGCGTCACGGCTCCCTCAGCGCGCCGCTCGTCGCGGCCCCTCCTCATGCGTGCAGCAGGCGAGGCGCACAGGGCCGTCGTCATGAGCCTGTCGGTGGGTGTGCGAGTGGAGCAGTTGGGCGGGAAACACACGGCACCCCTCACAGGAGGAGTGCAGCAACAAACAATTAAAGAGGGAAGAGTAGAAAAGAAAACACGTTCATAGTGATTGCCCCAAAAGCAAAAAAAAAAAAAAAGAAATAGGGATATAAAACGCACAGCAAAGCAAACAGGGAAGAAGTAAATAAAAGTTATTAAAGAAAATAAATTAATTACCGTGTGTCGGTGCAGGGGAGGTCGCAATTATCCCACGCGGCAGCCAGTCAATCCTCACAGAGCCGCAAACACCCACAGTCCCAACAGAAGCAGCGATGGCAGCAGCAGCAGTCCGCTCCCACGCACAGTGCCGACATCGCTGTTATTCCCCTGCGACACATTTCCGAGGCTGCTGCTGAGTGCCGCAGCATTTACTTCGCCGTGCTGTGCATGGTTATCCTCCTGCCCATTTCTTCCTTCCGTGGCCTCCTCATCCTCACGGGAGGTTGCGTTCATCTCTTGATCCACTGCGGGTCCATCGTGCCCAACGCCCTTAGCGGTAGGAGTGTTTGCATCTGCTGTGGCAGGAGTACCCATAGAAGGTTGGTGTGTTTCATCGTCCTGCGTTTCATCTCCAGCTCCTCTTCCCACCCTTTTGTCACCAACAGATGAGGAAGCGGCATCCACACTTTGAGTTCCATCGGAAGATTTTACTGACGCCAACTGCTGCACGCTGTCCAGCCCATGTAAGGGATTCGTCACAGTGGTCTCTCCTGAATTGGATACGCCGACACCGCCCACACCACTGCTCATCGTCGACGATTCTTGTTCCGTCCGCAGTGGTCCGGCAGGAGTAGGCATGGGCACGGTTTGCTGCGCAACTGATCCACTTGCTGCTGTTAAACGGGTATCCAACACCGCCGTTTGCTGTTCTTCTAGAATTGGAGTAGAAGCTTTATTCGGGTTAAGCGCAGTAATCTCATTGTCATCCAACGGGCGGTTGTACAGCAGGACGTTCGCCACCGTCACAGACACTTCTTGGACCTCTGAGACGCCTTTTGCACCTCCATCCCCTCCAATGTAGAAGTGGGAGATCTCTTTTGAATCCTTATTTCCCAATGCACACGGCACATCCCCACCCACGCGCTGACCATCGACGTACGCGGAGCCCTGGCTGCCGTTCCGTAGCAAAATTACCACGTGGTGCGTTGTTTGCTCCGATGTGCTGCTGAGTTCCTTAGGCGCTTCTTCACCGCACAACAGCTTCCACTTCTTTTCGCTGTCGTATGACAACTCCATAAGTTTGTCTTTACCCTCAAGATGCACACCCAAGAAAGAAATGGGAGAGCCCTCCTGCGGCTCACCGTCGATGGACACCGTCGCCACAAGAGTGAAGTTGTAGTTCGCAAAGTGGTACAGCTGGTTCTCCCCCTGACTGCCAACAGGCCACTCCGCCCACGCTCCCGTGAACTTCACACTGCCCTCATGCAATGTTGCCTTCTTACCCCCATCATTGTCCTTCACTGTGGCGTTCACCCCGAGGTACTCGTCCCTCCATGTGTTATCAGAGAAGTTGCCGGACAAAAAGCCAACCAGCCCATCCGTGATCTTAACAGTAGTGCTGCAGGCATTGTCAGGTGAGGCATCCTTCTCAGAGGGGCACAGCTGGGAGACAGTTTGGTCCACTTTCCTCCAGGTCGCCAGCACATCCTTCACACGCTGCAGCTGCGCAGTCAGAAGCACAGAGACCATACCGGGTGATGGTTTTTCCGCGTCGGCCTCCTTCTTCTCGTACAGTGCAATCAACTCCTCCTCCTTCTTATTAGTTCCACTTCCAGCACTTTTGTACAACAGGGAGCTGGCGGCAGCGTCATCATCGGATACCGGCCCAATATCAACAATGTGTGTGTTGTCCGTAAGCCAAAGATGGAGTTTGCCCTTTCCATTGCCCGTTTCTTTTTTACTCTCCTCCTCGGAATACACCGGGAGAGTGACGAGCATCACATTTCTGTTATCTTCAACACCGTCAATCGTCGCTGTGATAAACCCGCTTCTAACGCCCTTCGCTTTTTCGCCCTGTTTGTTGCCCCACACACGCGAGAGTGTCCCGAGTGCCTCCGTCCACGACTCCCCCTTGTCACCGGACTCGTACACCCTGCGGCGGCCATCATCACACGCAGTCATCATCATGAGTTTTTTGTCCTTCTCCCCCCACTCCACGACGGAGGGATCACTGCAGCCACCGGCAGACATCTCCTTCGATAGCGTCCAATCTGCAGCATCCGAGGAGTATATGATCAGCGAAACGGTCTTTCCATCATTTCCAGTGCCCTCCTCCTTTTTCGTGCCTTCCACTGGAAACACAAGCGTACCGTCATTCATCTTAACACCCGGTCCACCACCGCCAATCAGCCGCTTCAAGGTGTTGTGATGTTCGCCTAGCGTGCACGGGAGACCGTCAGTTTCCTTCCAATGGATTCGGTTGTTGCCGCCTTCACCGACCTCACCCTTCACCAGCAATATTCCCGATTTGATCTTCTCGCTCTTAGCCTTACTTTCAGCGGCATTTTCATGGCTGTGTTTTCCAACAAGCATGTAAATATCACTTCCATTCACAACTGCTGTTGGTCGGCTCACATCTACTCTCTTCTTCTTCTTTTCAGAAGTACCTTCCTCCAGAAATTGTGTCTTCTCCCTGGCACCCTCCAGCAATTCCTTCGGTTCGTTATCCTTATCCATCGTGAGTAGTTGGGATGCAATGCCAGTAAAAACGCTGTTTGGATCCTTCTTGCACTGAGCCTCGGCAACGGCAAATACGTCACTCCCCACTTTTAGAAGGCCGGGAGCACCCAACGATTCCACAGTTACATCACCCTCATCCTTGATGTCCTTCCATTCAAACTTTGGTTCAGGTGACAGCCCCGGACCTTCAGCAGCACCAACAGCGTTGCAGCACATCATCACAACAATGAGAAGGGCCACCGAAGAGTAGAAGAGATGCCGGGACATGTTGGGTCTCTGCAGCTCACTCTCTCTTCCTTCCCTCCTCCTTCCGCTGGATCCGGTCACGCGGCGACGGTTGTGTGTGCGGGGTGCTTTCACTGCAGCAACAAGTGAGAGCATATAAATATGTGTGTGGGCGGTGTGTGTGTTGTTGGTCCTTTCAGAGCCTTCGAATTTCACAGTAGCGATTAGCGTTTAGCCTTCCTTTCCTTCTTTGTGTGTGAGAAAGAGAGAGAAAATGAAGAAAAAGGAGTGAAACAGTGAAACACCGCCACCCATCCACAGTGAGTGGCATCATCATCTCCACCGCAGTCGCTCCCAACAACAACAACTCACGCACACACACAGCCCTGCCGCAACACCAAAACACAGATGGAAGAGGGAGAAGCAAACAGGAGCGGCACACAAGGCTCCACCGCATGCATACGGCGAGAGCGGTCCGTCGTGTCTGCACCCCTCACGGAGAGTACGCACACACACAAGAGGAGGTGCAGCGCACACAGCAACACAAAGGCAAAGTAACAATGAAAGATATCCCCGCACACCACGCGGATTGTTGGTCCACGGGAAGTGCAGCCAACATTCATCACAAAAGCAACTCAGTTGACTTTGGCCTTCGTTCATATTCAGCGCAAGGAATGGAAGAGTGTAGAAAACTATTTATTTGTGTTTCTGTTTGAATGTTGGCAGATGTCCGCATACTTTGTTTTTGCGGAGGGCAAACCATCATGCCTGGATCGTGTGTTGAGGGTTCCTGCAGGGTGCACAATTATTTTTTTTTCCCTCTTGTGAAGTTTTCGTGTGTTGGTGCAGTCAGCAATTCGGTTTGTGTTGTTCCTGCCTTTCGCTGGTAAAGTGCTGCAATAGATGTTTTTATTTCCTCCTTCGTTGCTGTGGCACCTGATTCCTCACCGTTTATTGCGGTGGAAATAAAAATATGTGAGTGGACTCCCACGCACCACAACGCACCTTCGCTCCTATTTATTGCTGCATGGAAGGGCATGTGTGTTTGGTGGTGTCTCGTCCATATATTTTGTGGGTGCACGATTCCCTTGAAGGCTGAGGGCGGGATGACGCTCCGTCGCGGTGCACTTCCCTCGCATGCCGCCCACTGTGATTCAATCATG